ATAGCGAGCCAGTACCGCAATCTGCAATGAATGCGGCAGCTGATAATTAGGACAGATCGGGTGCGGTACCCAGATCGGCCACGAGTTTGACGTCGGACGGTTTTCATGCGATGACAGGTTAAGACAGTTGGAAAAACTATGATTTTTAGATCGCTGCCAAGTATGCCGTCAGATTGAACTATTTGCGGCATACGCAGCTCTCCGCGACTAACTGATGGGGATTCGACAGGCCAAATCAGACTTGGAGCGATTTACAAGGTAACCTTAAGGCCTGGCACATTGAAAATTCCCAAAACGGAAACCGCAATGCATAACCAGCACACTGGGTTCATTACCTTCCTGCGACAGGCTAATAAAACTGTTCTTTGGAGCGTCAACAATCTGAAAACAGCAATACTTGTTCCCTATAAATAACAGCTTTTGTTATACGCATTAGGTTTAAAAAAGCTGTAATGAACTTCAAAAAAATTGGTAGGTACCTAAGAAAAGTTGGCCGAGCGCAAAAAGGAAATGCGCTGAGCTGATTGCTTTTTAAACGAGCCGCCGAATGCCGAAGAGTTTCATGAAGTTCATAAATCCGGAGTAGTATTTAATAAATCTGACTAACCCCTCCAGATTAGACGTCTTGGGGGAGACAGTACACAGAAAGAGCCAATAGTTGTTTTAGCGTGATACCGTTCCGCCACTCTTCGACTTACGATAAGTCTATTTCAATTTCTTTTTGTACTGTTCGAACGTTTTCCGCTATTTTTGTACTGTTTGTATCGTCTTTTCGCTATTTTTTTAATCCCACATTTTTCCGGGTTTCGTACATTCCTCTCTATATTCAAAGTACATACAGTTTTCCCATTAGTTTCATACTGCCGCTCGTTTTTAGATTTGTTTTGCACCGTTGCCGGTGTACCGTTCTTCCAGATTAGCCTCTACCCAATTAATAATAAGCAGTCCTGTATCACCCATATACCTTCAATCATGTCAGACCAGGACTGGAAGTCTGATGAATCTGATCCAATGGACTTTGCTAATTTACTAGATGAGGCTACGGCCTCTTCCTCTCTAATTTAGAATACACCCCTGTCTCCGAACTAAAATCCCAAACCTCGTCACTCTAATCCCTTCCTGTCTGACAGGACAGTGAATACGAATCCGTTCGCGGAGCCTTATCTTCCATCA